GTGGATTCAGTTTCAAGTTCAAGCTGTAATGCCACAGGAAATTCCCACTGAAGAGAACACTAAAACGTTACATTCAGTTCTCTGCGCAGTGAACACGGTCTAGTTGCATGGCAACAGGTTCTATATTGCACAACAAAACTTGGAAAGGTATAAAAGCAGCACTGCATGCACAATGAACTGTATAAACAGAGGATCAGCTGCATAGTACAGCTAATCCTGAATCACAGAGCAAAGCTCTTTCATTCAGAGGTCTGATCAAATTCATGACACAGGAATAAATTAACTCATTTACATTATGTAAGACTCTTTTTGGGTGGTTGAATAGAGTGCCCAAAGGAAAACAAATGCCGACTTGAAGGTGAAGTGTTTTATGTTTTAATGTTAAAATATATATTGGTAATCCCAGAATAATATGCAAATACTGTAGCTACTTCCGAAATCGTATACTCTCTTGAGTAGGTACTTGTTTTGAATACGTAATTAATTGTTCTAGGATGAACGTGTTTAGTATTACATCCGCCATGTTGTCTTGGTCATGTGACCACGCGTCAGTTGTGTCGCTTCACCTCCATGCCTGTGGCCTCATGGCATAGTAAAGTGTCCAAAATGCTTTTTTTAGTCTTACTGTGAATTCAGACACACTTCTTTTGTGTTTTCCATAATTGACATAAAGCTGAAATAATATAAAATACAAATGTAAGTTAAAGTACTAAATGACTAAAAAAGTAATTCAACATGTGAGGAAATATACTAAATACAAAAATGACAAATCACAACTTAAACTAAAATTAAAATATCTTTAAAAAAAAGCTAATTAAAAAAATCAATAAATTCTCAAATAGTATATAAATAATGCTTTAATAGGTAAAAATCGCAATAGTTTTCCTGCTACCAATGTCAGATTTTAATTCTATTTATGACCCTATTGAAAACAGAAATCTTAAACCAGCTTTTTGGGGTTATTGTCTCCCAGGCTGTGCTGGTTAAGCTGATGTAATGGTCAGACTGGGGGACCAGCTGGCTAACCAGCTAAACCAGCTGAACACCATCTTAGATCTGCAAATCACCTTAAAAAAAAGTGTGACTCATATTGATTTAACTATGAGTTTATGCTGATCAAAAATAACATTAGTACAGCAGGCCTATATGCATGATTGTGCTTATTGTTTAATATTTCAATGATTATTTGATTGAAAATTAATTAAAAGTGCTTGCACACATGGTTTTTTATTTGTACATATTGGAAAGCATGTGAGCTGGATACATGTGCACACTGAGCTCTTCTTATCAAGACATGTTTATCTGTCAACCCCAGAAGGAGCTCTAGAGGTGAACTCAGTCTAAGAGATGTCAATTCCCAAACAAACACGGAAATCTCAAGTGGCCCCTGCCGCCCTGCAAAGCATCACTGGATAATGTGCCTAAGAGGTGCTGGAGCTGACGGGGAAGGACATGGATCAGAAAGCAGTGCTGGAGGATAATTAACTTCTCCGTGAGCGATCGATGCAAACATGCCTCTGAAAGATCTTGAGACTGCGAGAGCAGAAACTGAAGGGGTGTTGTTAGAATTTGCTACATTCCTTGAGCACCCACAGGTGTGCCTGCGCCCGTCTGTCTATGAGAAAGGTATGTTAAAGTGTTTAATCCACAGTGGTGCGTAAACATGACAAGAGGTTTAAGCCAATTATTTCCCCTCATAAGGAGTGGTCCCATTGGAAGCAGATCAGCCTAGCAGCCTATGGTTATCTCATAGAGAGGGGAAAGGTGGGAGATTGACTCTAGGTCAGTTGATTCTTTCTTAAGCTCTTCTTCCTTTGGTTACTACAGTATAGAAGCCCATTTTCACCAAAGATTTTGGTGATCATCAAAATTATGAGATACTCAGTCATACATATGAGATGAAAGTTGACATTTACACAAACAAGTCAAAATTGAGTATTAGAATCATAATATCGCTTATAAAACGGTGAGTTCGAATCCTTGATTCTGATTGGTCAAGAGCTGTGCTTTATTCACGATAAAACACGGCTATGACCGCTTCACCCGGTTCTATTAATCACCGCGCAACACTGCGATTCTAAGTTGTTTTTATTTGAGCTTTCATTCATTTTACACATTATAACGTTGTTGCTGTTTACGCTCAGGGACTATTTTTTTTAGCGGAAGGAAGACTTTTAGTGTTCTTTTTTTACTTCAAAAAAGTTGCACTAATACATTGTTTGTTTGTTTTTTACTTTAATATTGGCAACCGTTTTATAAAAGCAATAAACCCAGACAGCAAACTGACATTGAATCAACGTGGAAACGACATCTCTCATGACATCGAAACAACGTTGATCTGGCATTGTTTTGCTCATCGAATTAACGCTGAACCAACGTCAGATGAAAATGGAAAATTGGTTTGCTTTCCTAACGTTGAAACAACGTTGATTTCAAGTTGATTTTCCGTTAGTTTTGAAGAATGACGCATCTGACGTTGGATTAACGTTAATTCGATGAGCAAAACAATGTCAGATCAACGTTGAGAAAGATTCCATCTGGTCCTGCTGCCTTCCTCATCCTCAACCTCCCTAGCTCTCTTCTCACCTGGTTAGCAGTAAAAGACAATTCAGTAGTTGGATGCTCAGAGCTATGGTTAGCAATAGTGGGAGGAATGGAATATGAAGGAGTAGATGTGCTGGAGATGTAAAAGGGCTCTGAACCTTGTGTCAGTGATGGTAATTTACTCGTTAGGAGTGTCTAGACAGATGCATAGTCAAATCTATTAAAGAAGATATTCAGATCATTCAGCCACTGATGGTCCACCTCAATTTGAGGAGTGGTGACTTTATACCCAGAGATGGTATTCAGGGTCCTCCAGACCCCTCTGACATCATTATTTTGCAGCTGATCCTCCATTTTCCTCTTATAGCTGCATTTACCCTCCCTGATCCTCTTCCTCAACTCCCTCTGCACAATTTTCAGTTCCTCTTTATTACCTGACCGGAAGATCCTCTTCTTCTCCTTCAACCTTTATATCAGGAGTAATCCACGGCTTGTTATTGGAAAAAACACCATATGGTTTGACTGGGTACAGCGTTTTGCACACAAAAGTTAATATAATCCGTAATGCAGGGTGTCAAACTATTGATATCCTCCCTAACGTTTAAGTCATAAAAATGATTTACCAACGTATGATTTCTCTTCTTATGTAGTTGAAATGGTCTATAGGCTTACTGAGACCAGTTTTACAGAACATCCTGTAGGAATTTTCAGATTTTCAGTCAAATGTGCTGATAAAGTGTTTCATTTGTATGGAAATAATATGTAGACAAGTTGGAATGAAGTATGACATTGCAAATAATTTTGCTGTTTTTTTTTTTTTTTTTTAAAGAGAAATTATGCAGGGACTCCAAAATGAAAAGACAGAAAGCTAAATTCACTTCTGGCATGTGGAAACAGTCGACTGATGAATATATATTTTTTTTAAATGGGGTTTAGTGAAGAGTCAATTGTGTATACAGACAGGACAGGAAAAAAAAACAGAGCAAGAAAGAGCCTTGATATCCTAAGGGAATTACAGACGTGTGTCACTCTTGTCACCCTTGGCAGTGTAGATCGACAGGAGTGGATGTTCTCTCACGTTCTCTCACTTAAGCTTGGCAGAAAAGCTTGGCAGATGGCACTTGAGTTGATTGCAGTGATCAATCCCAGCAGTTATAGTGCTACATTGACTCCTGGCAGCATCAGTACATGCGGGTGAATCTTGTGAAACCTGTCAAAAACATGTACAGGTCACTGTATAGAAAAGATGATGATTTTCGGGGGAGAAATACTTAAGCTCATGCTCAATGCAGATGATATTTTGCTACTGTATATGTTTCTGACCCTGGCAGGTCTATACCTTGCTTCCTTAGAACAATTTACGCTTTCTCATTTTTAGGTTAGAGAAAAAATTGGTCTAAAATAAATCAAAAGCTCTTGTACTTTTTGCCTTGTCGCAGCTTTTCATTCCTGGCACGTTTCATCAATGGCATTAGATTATTTAGGCATTTTATTTCCCCCAAATTTGAATTTGAATTTGAATTTTCACCCCTTAATGAAAAAGATTTCCTTTGATATGGATAGATGGGCTCCACTTCTAACGACAATAGAAAAGTCAATGTAATTAAAATGAGTTGTCTGCCCAAAATGAATTATTTATTACAGTCTCCCCCAATTCAAATACCACTTTCCTATTTGAAACAAGTTGACAGAATATGTAAGGCTTTTATTTGGAATAGCAAGCGACTTTGGATGCTTTCTAATAAGTTACAAAGACCTGCTGAGAAAGGAAGTCTAGGACTGCCTAATGTTTTGTTGTGTTTTTATGCTTTCGATCTTAGACACCAGTCTCATTTGTCTCTTTCTCCTGAAAAATCTCTCCCTTGGTATGCGATTTCAATACTGCAGAGTCTGTCCACTAACCTGATTGGAGAGGTGAAAAACATCCTATTATTTCACACTTGCATGCTGTTACGAAATGCACCCTGAATAGTGAGTTTATTGAAGAGTACACAGAGTCCAAAGGGTGATCTTCAGGGAGACACAGAGGAATGGAAGATGATGACAGAGAGATCGCTGGAGACCAGGATGTGTAGTGAGAAGGATGGTGACTAGGGTGATCTGTGACAGATCTTGGAACGAGGCTGTTGTTTAGTAGATTTAGTAGACCCTTTTGACCCCACAGATACTCAAACTGACAGCAAGCATGCAGGTCAATGAGTTCTCAAGCTGAATTCTACATCATGAAGCAGCAGATCATGTGTAATGGCATGCTAGCAGCGTTTGCACACCTTGGACTGCATTAGCATCGGCGCCCAAGCTAATGTTCTCAGTTTAACCTCCCTCTCAGCAGCCAGAGTTATCCTGTCCTGGAAATGCTGTCTAAGCCCTCGCTCTGCTGTGTGCGAGAGCTCTTAATTCCCTCAAGCTAAACACATTGTGATCCCTCTCTCTCTCTCTCTCTCTGAGCAGCCCTGACTTAACTAGCCAGAGAAATCTGTTGTGTTTTGCACTGTGGCTACCTGCTGTTCCCTGTGGTGCAGGTTTTAGCCCCCCGCACGGGACAGTCATGTGGCGAAGGACAGGACCAGCCACCGCAGGAAGTGACAGCAGGATCCCCTGAGCTCGAAAACAAAGGATAACCACCACCAAACAACGGTGAGGAAATACAAAGGGAATCTAAGTGTGTGTGTGTTTGGTTTAGTGTGTGATTGCATTGTTTACACCTCACAGGACATTGACAACTGTTGCTTTCTTGAAAGCACTTTACCAGCATGCCGTAGCTGCCTGGGTTTTGTAAACTGTCTTGTTTACATCAGTTTTTGTGATTAAGTGAATGTTTGATGCAAAGAAAAGTGTACTTTATTCCAGCTGTAGTGATAGACAGATGTATAGATGTTCAGTGACCTCTAGATCAGCCTCAAAGCAATCTGATTACTGAAGCATCCAGTCAGCATAGCTTGGGCCTGATCTTATAAACATGACAGGAATGCAGATAAATGGTTTTGTGACTTTGTGACTTTGACGAGAACATTGCATTTGTCTTCCCCCTTTAATTATTTTATTTTATTTTTTAAAGTGACCTGTATCAGAAAGTCTGTTATTTTTCAGGTTTACTGACTGGCATGCTTCATGCTAATCGTCTCGCTATGCTTGAGTCCATTCCCAATGCTACTCTAATGAGTCTGATGGTCTCATTTAAGGAGACAGCATGAATCATTATGCTTCTAAACATGCTGGTCACTGAACCGGCATGTTTAGAAGTCGCCGGACTCTCTATGTATTGTTTATTGGTGATTTTCCCCATATTTACCTAGAAAACAATGTTAATCATTGAGAACATTGGGAACATTGGAAATTTTGAAACAGTTTTCACAACTTTAGAGTTTGAAAAAGGTAGACACCAGCTTACTTGAACTTCTAAAATGTTCTTTATATTGTACTTTATTTCGAAAATATACTTTATAGGCTATTTGTACTCTATGGTATTATTTATTTCTTCTATTTAAATCATTTTTACTTTACAAGACTTACATCTTTTATCATAATATGGTGATATACTATTGATTATATATTGCTTAATAAATTGTTATTCTCTGTTTACTCTCTGATTTGATTAAAAAAAAATACAGTTAAAACAGTAAAACTACACACATACATATCCATATTGTACATTCTTAAAGGGATAGTTCACCCAAAAAATCTGTCATTATTTACTCACCCTCAAGTTGCTCCAAACCTGTATGAATTTCATTCTGCTGAACACAAAAGAAGATGTTTTGAAGAATGTCTGTCAGTAATCAAAAAGTTGATTGACTCCATTGACTAAATTTCATATATTTATTTCTGATGGAAGTCAATGAGGCCCATCAACTCTTTGGTTAATTTGAATTATTGGGTGAACTGTCCCTTCAAATAATATTTAAGAATAATAACACTTTTACAATCCCTGTCTCATCTCTGCAGATAAGTGCTCTCAAACGTAAGATTAGACTAATCAAATCAAAACAACAATTCAGTGGCATTGCTAATTTTACATACTTCTGCTAAAACTCATTTGGCAAAGTGGTCTCCAAACTCAAATTCAGACGTGCGGAAACATGCATAATAAATAGCAAGCTGACGTGTACAGCAAGAATATTAAACCATATTGTGCTGTAATCCCATAATCTTAGTTGTGGCAGAGACCTACTTCCTGTTTCGCATTAATTACTCGATTTAATCCCTAATCACATGCAATCCACACAGTCATCCTGTATCCAAACAATCATTTATAACATCTGGCATGGCTGCACAATAAGGGGGAGTTCACACGACTAGCAAGACCTGTTGACTCAGGATTCATTTATGACATATTTTAATCAGGTTGTTCCCCTGAAACATAATGTAATAATTAATAGACTCTTTAAACAAGCCTGGTCACATTTAAACTACTAAATTATAAATTACATTTTGCTTAAATGTGCTCTCAGTCTTATTAAGGACTTGGCTGGAGAGCTGATAAGCTGTGGATAATAAATCTCTGATCAATTCTAATGAAGCAATTCATCCAATGCCACAAAGACATTAAACTTCCCACATTAATGTACAATTAAAATGTGTGCAAGTATTTGATTCTGTACATAACTAATTATTTTAATGTCTTTGCAATAGATAAAGAATAATAGCATAATAAACAATACACAGTATACATTGTTATGATATAATGTGCATGTTATTATAGGTTAATATACAGTATTTATAGGCTAAAATCAGAGTCTATTGAAATTTGAAATTGGATAAAAGGGTCTGCTAATGTAACGTAACAAGGGTCCAGAATCCTGGAAAAAGGTTTCAAGGTTCAATAAAAGTATTAAGCAGCTCTTTGAACAACCCAAACCAATTCTTACCACAACCAACCAGTACCAGGACTTTAAAACTTACCACAACTGAACAGTATTGTACACACTGTGTGTCATCATAACTTATGTCCCAGTGGTATTATCCACCGCCAGTTCAACCACAATAAGCCTGCTCAACTGAGGTTCACCTTAGGAAAGATCAGAATAAAATCACCCCATGTTGTCCTGAGCATTATTTATTTGTTTATTTATTTTTTATTTTCATTGAATTTTATTTTGATTATTTGAATTGATTTTAACATTACAATGCACAGTCTGAATAACCGTCATTACAATCTTACTGATTAAAGGCAAGTGATAGTGATGATGTCCCCTAGTGGTCATGTGATGAATGGAAATAATAGGAAATAATGTAAGCCTTATGCATGGAACAATAACAAATAAATGTTTGGATTAGTTTCGTCCTGCGTGGCCATTCAGGAAAAACTTAAATGGGAAACAAGAGTTCTTAGGCAGCTTTGCAGGTATTATGTGAGGATTTGGAAAAAAAAAAAAGCTTTCATACGGAGTTGCGTCGAGGTGAAAGGTGGAGGATCAGAAGAGCGGCCTGGAGGTCAGGTAACCGACATCACCGAAGCTGGCAGGCTGGTGGCTTTACACTGGCTAAAGTCTTCATAAGAGGTTTCAAGTACGCTGAGGTGAAGCCTAAACACGACTAAAGCCCACACAGAAGTAAACAAACACTGTATTGGTGAGAGAGACTGATAATTTAATTCAGTTTGATTTGACTCACTTGAGTAACTCGACTGATGAATTTCAGATGGTGGCGCGACAGTATAAATATGCTTTGTTAATCTTCTGATTTAATTGACCTTTGGTTTGAATAAGAAAGTCTGCTCTTTGTGACAGGTAACATGAGCACTCCAAATCCTTCAGAGCAATTGACTGTCAGGGATTGGCATTTCTTTTACAGCTGGGACAAGGAGACGTGAGCCCAGGGGAATATCAACTATGTTGATGCCATGGAGATTGTTCCTCAGCCAGATGGCACTGAGCATTTTCTATCACATCGCAAAAGGTAAATAGCTCTCTGAAATCAGGATCTGCAACGAACGACAGAGGCTAATTTTCACCAATCACCGCTCTGTGATATTGTGAATATTAACATATGCCAGAAATGGTTATGAGGCTATTGGAAATGATAATGATGCTCTGAATGACTCATTTGTAGTATTGAGAGTTCTGATTGTCTCAACCTGTTGAAATGAAAAGACACAAGTGAGATTCATTTTTTCATATTTTTTTTTTGGACAGAAATAAGATTAAAGAAAGAGCTAATTGAGTCTCTTGCTTTAAGTAAAATTGATTTTACCGATTTATTTAACATGGCAAATTTCAGGATAGGTTATTTGTTATTTTACATTTTGGAAGGTGAGAGGTAAAAAATAATAGGGCTTATGTTCATTACCTGTAAAAAGTACAGTATAAGACATTTCAGAATTTGAACAAGTTGTTAATTTCATTTTGATCGACAAATTTTATTTCAAATAATATGCACAAAATGAATAATTCTTCACACATGTATTAAGAAAGTAAATACGGTAGTTCTGAGGAAAAAGTATAAATTGTGAGATGTTAATTCACAATTGTGACAAAAAAACAGAATTACGAGAAATAAAGTTGAAATTTAAGTAGAAATTGTCATTTCTTGTCGGAAACTAGTGTCCTCCCCTTAAAGCTTGAATTAAAGTAAATATATCCACATGGCATTGAAATAAAAGTGACTGAAAAGTGAAGTAAAATGTGTTTTATTGATGGATAGAACATCCTGTCCCTGGAGTAATTAGTGTTTGCGCTTGAGAACAACCGTGATGCATGAATATTTGGGAAAAATCCAGTACTTGTTACAATTATCCCTGCTCTCCATATTATAAAGATGTTGTGTTATAAATTAGCTGTGCAATCTGTGATTTTATGGATGATTTATGTTGTCCTCATAATCGAATCAATCTCTCATCTGAACTGCAGCCAGTCTATGCCTTGGTGGTCAAGATATATTTGCCACGGTTAGAGAGAACAGTCCCACTGGAGAGTTCATATCCAACCTCAATATCAACGGAGACCCTGGAGCCAGCAGCATCCGCCTGTGTCTCACTGGAGAAAACTCCGACTGGTTTTATCTTGAAGGCCGAACAATCCGACTCAACACTTCGTTTTCCAAGACCTTGGATCGAGAGGTGATTAACATGAATAGGAGGAAAGCCAGAATAACAGTAGAGCTTTTTATTACTTTAAAACAGCCAGCCAACACATTGAAGACATAGTTTAAAAAGTTTATAATTTATTATTAATATTAGTTATATAACCTTTATTTGATGGGTTTGTCTGTTAAAATACACTTAAAATTTATACATTTCCTTTTAAGTGCTAAAATAATTTAAATAAGTTTGTATTTTTTTTATAAAGTGATGTACCAATCAGCTGATCATAATATGTAATTTAAGTGCTTAAATATGACTGAATATTAAAATCCATTATTAGATATGAAGGCAACAAACCAATTAACTCTATAGAATCGCTTTTTTAAAGAAATCTCTTAAAGCCGCATTTATTTGATCAACATACAGTAAAACCAGTTATTTTGTGAAATTTAAAATAACAGTTTTAAGTGTAATTTATTTCTGTGATAGCAAAGCTGAATTTTCAGCATCAATACTTTACAATATTTTGAGATAAAGTTTAAAACTAGGCATTCATTTAAAAATGGAGATCTTTTGTAACATAAATGTTTCCAATGTAATGCATTTTGAACGGCAGTGTAAATGAAGGTGTACCAATGGAAGAATGATAGTCTGAGGTGAATAATTTTGTAACTGTGAATTAAAGTGATTATATAAATACTAACCTCACTATGTGACCTAATTTTTGTTTTCTTTGGTAATTTACAGGTGCTGGGATCAGTGCTGATAGCTGCTTTGACATGTTATGAAGATGGAATAATAAGGGTATGTTGCACTGCGAAAATAATGATACTTAATGATACTGGAGTGCAATTAACCCATACGTTCTTATTTCAGAGTCGGTATCGAATCATGGTGGAGATATTGAATGAGAACGACAACATGCCATATTTCCTTGAAGACACTATTCAACCACGATATATAAGTGAGGTAAACTAATGTTTTGCTCCAGATTTTATTTTTGCGATTAAACTCGTGTTCGGAATGAACTTTTTCAATCATTAAATCTTATAATTCTGACTCTCTTCCCACAGTTGCTGACTGTGAACTCGATGGTGTTCACAGTGAAAGCCAGAGACGGCGATGGAGACACGATCACTTATATGACCGACAAATCTACAGTGAGTGGCACATTCGATAGGGACAAAATCACGGATGAAAGGCTGAATCAAGGGCATCCAAGATGTAGGTGTCTTTGTTTCCGCAGTAGTTTCAGTTTTGATATTTTTAGGTCAAACCGTTCGTGTCTATCAGACATAATGAAGGTCTATGGTCACCACCTCAAAGAGCATGCACAGAGAAGTCCACATTAAACATGATTTAATGACTCGTAAATGTAAGTACACATTGATGGCCTAAGACACTAAACGAGCGGTTTGTGTGAGAAAACAAACAGTATTTATTCGTTTTTACCTCTTGTAACCGAAGTCACGTCCAAGTACTCTGAGGGCGCGGGCGATTTGGTCTGCGCAAGCGCCGGAAAGCGCAGGAAGTGATCTCTCGCGCGTGAACGTCACTCATTGTTTACAGAGAGGTTTCTGAAGTGTTACCCTTCACTGTGAAGATCTAAACATATTTAGATATACAGGAAATCGCAATGGAAAATGATTTCGATATATCAACAGACAACGTTGAATTTTTCCACAACCACGCGAGAGATCACTTGGACGTGGCTGTGGTTACAAGAGGTAAAACGATATAAATACTGTTCGCTTTCTCACACAAACCGCTCGTTTTGTGTCTTAGGCCATCAGTGTGTACTTACATTTACGAGTCATTAAATCATGTTTAATTTGGACTTCTCTGTGCATGCTCTTTGAGGTGGTGACCATAGACCTCCATTATATGTCTAACAGACAAGAACGGTTTGACCTGAAAATATCAAAATTGAAACTACTGCGGAAACAAAGACACCTACATCTTGGATGCCCTTGATGTAAGCTAAAACATACCAAACTTTAATTTCAAAGTGAACTATCCCTTTAAAGTAGAAGCCTCATTCTGTCTTCATTGACTATCCCTCATGGATCTTTATTGTGTAACCTTCTCTATCCAGAGAGAAAACCACCTTCTTCCTTTTCACAATCTAAGAACACATTACCAGCACTGTGTGTTTTTCTCATTCAGGCTGATGCCAGCTATTTTAGGATCGATTTGCCCAACAGTGGGATGGTGATCCTGGATAAACCTTTGGACTATGAGACTAAAACCCAGCTGCATGTGGTCATATATGCTGTGGTACGTGAAACACCTAACAGTTCACATATAATGTGCTCAAATGGAATCAGAATGAAGGAAGAACGGTGTCTTCCTGTTGCTGTCTAAATCAACAGGAAATGACCACAAAAGAAAAGTACAGCACAACAGCTACAGTCACCGTGAATGTTCTAGACGGTGATGACCAGTATCCACAGTTTCAGCCGTGCGCACCTGTTTATGAAGATGGAGATCATAATATCTGCACCAACCCTGTGTACAGCGTCAACATTACAGAAACAGATGAGGTGTGTGTGTGTGGTGTCAGTCTACAGATTAGAGTTTTTTCAGATCCCTATGATATTAAAAAACTGAGCTGAGCCAAATTTTTATGCTCTTTATGATCTAGGATGTTGTGCTTTATTTTTCTCCGGGTCCCATTCATGCTGAAGATGGAGACAAAGACATACTTACCCCTCTGGTCTACACTATTCTGTCAGGTGAGTTTACTTTGGGTTTATCAACTGTTTAACCCTTTAAATCTATATTATAACTTTTAAACGTTACTCAAAATGACTTTATAGGTGATGATAATGGCAGATTTACAATCGACGCGAAAACAGGAGAGATCTCTCTCAGGCAACGTGTGGAAAACAGACTCCTTACCCCTTCATTCAGGCTCCGCATAATGGTACGTAATAACAAAGTGATGGTTGGTTTAACACTCTGATCTGATGGAAGAGCTTCAACTGCATGGCAAAGGATATAATATTGGGGATTTTTCATATGAACATTGCATTCAACATAAATGTGGGTTATGTGACACAATGATGACATCAGTGGTCTCATCATAATTGCCCTTTGCAAACTCCAATAGGCTGCCCAGGTGAATGACCCAAAGAAATATTCGATGGCGACGGCACTGGTGCACGTGGTATCGGAGAACCAGTTTCCTCCGATCTTCAACAAGACCGTCTACAAAGGGTTTCTAATCGAGAGCTCCAGCCCTGCTACTCTGGTCACTACTTATGGGAACCAAGTCCTAGTGATCCAGACCATCGACAGGGACTTCAGAGATGTAGAGTGAAAACATTTCCTTTATATAGGAAACACTTTAGAAAAATGGTCTGCAGACCCTTATTTAGAGAATTTTCTCTCTTTTACCCCCCCACTGTCTTGCAGGGGATAAACCCAAAAATCCGTTACACAATGCAACCCTTGACGGGTAGCAGTAAACTGTATCACATCACTCAGGATGGCATTGTGATTGCAAAGACGGACCGGCTCAGAGCGTTCGACCGACACATCCTAGAGGTGACAGTCGTGATTGTGACTTAATGACTTGCTTGTGCCTCAACCATGTACAAAGCCACTAGATTTTGCATAGAAATAGCTACAAATGTATGCAAAACAGCAATAACACATGGACGGGATTACATTTGTCATGACATTTTTCACAGGTGATTGCAACAGACGAGGAGTCAGGTGAGGTTGCGCACACTTCAGTGGACATTGAGGTTTTACAAAGGGGACTTCCAGGTAAATTCCCTTAACCATCTGCATGAATTATGTTTTAGCAAAATAAAAATACAATATTGTGATATGGAAACAGCTACAAGGTTTTCTCTAATTCAATTCATGTTTATAAATGCTGATACATTGACACAACTCCTGTAAACTGAAATAGCATAAATCATTATAATTGATCTTTTAAATTGCTTTAAAGTTAAGTTCATGCTAAGTCTTTCATGCATTCTTCTTTGTTATTTGAGTTCATGTTTTCAGAAAACCACACCACAAACTTTACTATGGACATTTCCAAATAATAACAGCACAAATAAACATAAAATTTGCCTCGTCTTGACTGTGAAACTATGTTAAATAAAACATCGATTGAACTTATCAAAGGAAAAAAAAATCCATGTTTAATTTGGGGTGCAATTGTTCAGCGTGTCTTTAAAATGCGAAGGGAAATAACATTTAGCCACACCGTACCATAGAGGGTTAATCCGTATGAATGATAATTCACATAGATCATTAATCTGGTTAATTTGATCATTCATGGTTGATTTTTAAGAGGGATGAATAAGGTGTTAAATTCGATTCATTAGATCACTGCCCTACTTTTGGCAGTCGTTCAAACTAAATGATAAATCACTTAGAGGTGTTAATACACAGAACTGTGAAGGTTTTGTGAGTAATCATACATCTTCCCCCTCTCTTGGACAGTTCCTAGAAGTCCATTTGGAGAAGAACGGCTGTTTGCGTTGGATATGAACGCAGGGATGGCCGGTGGCATTGCTGCTTTTGTTCTCATAGTGGCTGTGACAACACTATTTATTTGCCTCTGGCTGGTCAAGAGACGAAGAGAGAGACGGGATCCCGAAGACAGGGGCTCAGTAGCCCTAGGGAAGCACCCAAATGTGGTAAGAGCTAATTTGTTCAATATCAAACACTTTATTTTTGTTTTTACATACCATACACACTTTAGTTTAGCCCCTTCGAGGCACGTCAGTCCATTTGGCGGCCATCTTTGCTACACCATCATAGCGGTTTTCTACAGTATCTAGGCAATAAGCATACAAGTACTGCTCCTTTCTGCTTGAATGGGTAAAAAGTGAAACCTCCAAATGGTTTCAATCAGTGATTCCACCAAATGTGTTCACAAAATAGTATTTTATTTAGAATTTAGCACTAAACTATAACAGAAGGTATTGTGGCTGTTTTGTTTAATATAATTAAACAAAACTAATTACATTGTGTTTTAGCATGCAGACAAAACAACAGACGCCTTATGTTTGTGATGCCTTTATCTTTGAGCTACATATAGGTTGTGCTTTTAATTATAAATTTATCACCTCAGGCAAATGTATAGGATTTTTTTTTTCACATACTGATGTTTCAAACCAGTACTTCTTCTTCAGTATGTGAATGAAAATACATTGATGGAAGCACAACGACTAAGACGAGATGCTACATTTAACAATAAGTTTTAACTGAACTGTAGCATTATGATTTCTCCCATTCACTTAACTGCGGGTTGCTCATAACTGCTGGTCTAGGATCAGTTTTAGCCGCATATTGACGAGACAGATTTGACTAACGATTCAGTGTGTTTGCGCTCTGGAGAAAATCAAAGGTTTCTGTTTACAACGTGTTTTTGCATCGTTGAGCAATGTAGCCAATCAAAAACATATCTGTTGATTTCTTGAACGCAATGGCCAATCAGACGCGTTTAAGTTAGAATCCACTCACCACTCAAAACGCCAGAGTTTTTGTCAAGTGCGAGTTCTGCACGCTAGTGAATCCTCTCATTATAACAAACAAAGTGAAGACGTTATATACACAAGAGATTAGCTGTGCGGTCGCTTTCATTGATTATATAACGGAACATTGTGAGATCACGATTAACTAAACTGAGAGAGTTTTTTTAGTGTTTAGATGCCAAAATGAACAGTGGTTTGTGAAAGTAGAAGCTTTAATCACAAAATAATTTAGCGTGAATATTTATGCTTGTTCGGCGACACGAAACTTGAAACAATTTCCTGGAGAACATGGCATCATGGCTTTTGCGTAAACATACACGACACTTTCAAGTCAAGTGTATGTACACGCCATTAAATGTCTGAGCGAAACAAAGCAAAATGTAGATCTACATCTGGGGAGCGATATTTTTTTTCCTAGGATGGTAGGGGAAGACTCATAAACAGTATTAACCCCAGTGACAGGTACGTTAAGGGACGGGGTTTGGGTAGGTCGTAGATTTATATACAGTAATGTAACGTTAAGTCAACGGCATTTATAAACAAAAATTTAAATGCCAAAAATGGAAATACGAATTGGCGTGTCATATATAGGCCATTTCATGAGATCAGTCTGTCCTGGAAATCTACGTGAATGTGTTCTAAATCTCCTTAGCCTTAACCTGGAGTTGGTTCACCCTCTGACTATGTACATAGACTTACAAACTGCACTTGACCTTACTTGACCTGCTACAGTTCAAGCCAGACTTTTGCACTAAACAAGTAAATGCCCCATTTCAAACGATAACAGCTTAGAGTATAAATATATTGGGTTTTAATTGGATGTAGACAGTATTATGAAAAAAAAAAGATGAAACACTTCAGAAATGATATTAATGATGGTCATTCACACAGTCAAACATTACAACCTGCCCTTGTCGCCTTTGCCTCAACGTTCCTCTTTAATTCCTCTTATGTAGAGCTTAAGATGGTTTCAGCAGGTAAGTACCTGACATTAAGTAGCTAGACGTGTTCTGCAGTGTAACTGTCCCTTGTGAAGGTGAGATGTGTTTTCTGAGAAACCGAAAGCCGTATACTCCTGATAGGCTGGTTTAAATGGGATTGTCAGTGTTAGAATTTCTCATAAATGGTACACCATTTAAGCTGGTCGGTATACGAAGCACAGCCCCCTGTGTCTGATGGTTCACTGTGTAATAGGTCTGATATCACGTAGATAGGCGTTTCGTATTTGTGTATGTGTATCTGTATTGCATCTTCATGTTTAATAAACACTGTTGAAAATCTCCTAGTAATTGTTAATTATGTTTATTGATTTAGACTGATTCTGATTCTTGAGAGATGAGACAAAACAAAACTCACACTGTAATTGATATCAAAGATGATCACTAAAATCTTCATTTACTGATTACTTGATCAACATTAATAACATAAGCTTATATTATCACTTATCTACCCATAAAGCACTTAAAAATATTCAAATATTGTCCTATGTCTTCAAGAATCAGTGACACACATACCTGCTCTGTAATCAGCGCTGGACCTCAGCAGTGGATTTGACCTGTGGATATGTTAAGGTTGTTCGAGGAGACCCTAAATGCCCTTTCTCCGTGGTCAACAGGTCAATTCAGGATGTCCCATATCACTCATGGATGCCTCCTACCACAACGAGGCGTTCATCGACTATGAATACTCTAGTGGTTTGTACACCAAAATCGATGACTCGCTCCCTCCGGCGGCCAGGACGTTTGAGTCTGACAGACCTGTGACACAGCAAGACATGCTCCCAATCCTGGTCTTCCAGAAAAAACACCCGTCAACATGAAATCTTCACCTCTGACCAATGGGAAAGCATTTGCAAAATCAGTCTCTTTTAAAGACAGAGAAGGAATGTCGGAGGACAGTTTGCCAAAAAACGAAGAAGGACAAATTGCGGTTGTATGCAATCAAATAGAGACCAGAGCGGATATTTTGATGCCTGTTGTACAGCAGGAAACTTTCACTTTAGTGGGGAATCCTGCAGAAAATGAGGATTTTTGTTGTCCAAATCCTTCTGTAGGACCTCATGGCAATACTAATGATGAGGATGATGAAGATGACAATGATCCATACAAAAACATGGCCTCTGTTATTTACAGCAGCAATGACGAAGACACGGCAGACGAAGAGCCAAATGATTTAAGGCACTATTACAAACATGGGCGAAACCCGTTTACAATAGACCACATGAAGGCAATCGGTTTGCAGACGGAGGACTCGGATGAATCACATGCCTGACTCATTTTATTTCAACTATTTGAACAAGTTGTTTTCATTTAAAAAAAGCCAAACCTATGAACAAGGTTCCGAAGGGAATATATCAAGAAACAGCGTTCAGAAGGACATAAATATTTGTGTTCAAACTCATGTCTGATGAAGGCTTTGGAGTTGACTGAAATGTTATTGTTTTAAAGGGTTTACTTTTTGAGTTGGTTGAGCACACTTTTTGTTTTTATTTAATGTTTTCTTCATAATGGAGTTGTAAAGAAATACTGTGCACATGTTCATCCTTAGTTAAAGCTTCAGTCTGTAACTTTTTGAGTTAAAAATTATCCAAAACTCAAGTCTCGGCTAGAAGGTTATATTGCGTGTGGATGTTGTAGGCCTTCACTCGATATAATTAAAAATATGAATTTGATGGCGAATCCAGAAAGGTTTAAAAAACGACAATCATCAGTGACAACTGGTAAATATCTGAAGGGCTTTAAATGTAGTCACGCAATGCTGATGTTGCTAACATTAACAACGTGAGAACAAAGTATAATTTGATCAGCCCGTTTTACTGCAATGCTTTTTTTCCCCTGTCAGAACAAATGTGGATTTTTCTTACTTGTTCAGATGACATTTTCCGGTGAACATTCTTACGTTGGTCATACTTCCAAAAAGTAGATTATGTGATTCTGAATTACAGTGTCCACACCTGCGCGGTGATTCTCACACATTCTCCTCAAATCGTTGCATTTATCCGCGCTGTGCCGTGCCGAGACACAACCCATGTAAAGTTGATAATTACGCGAGTAACTGCAATTGCAGATTTTGAACAGAGATGGCGACAAAGACAAAAACTATGGACTGCAGCTTTAAGAATAAGTTAAAATTAAGTTTTGATGACTGTGTCTTTTTCGTCCACTTCTAATGTATTTTAAATTAAAATTCTGAATGGTTTCAACCCCTGAAACTAGTTGAAAATTATGTGTTATGAATAAATGTAGTAGAATTTTGATTACTCATGTCTGCTGTCAACGGTTATGTTAAACATTTAAATACAAAAGGTTGAACTCACTGTAAAAAAAATGTTGCTACAGTTAGTTTTAACATCTTAAAATAGGTTGAGATAACTTATATCCTACTTATCTAAACTTAACTTAATATTTTAAGTCAAGCATGAACACATACCTTTTTTAAGTTGAAACAACACATTGTTTCTTTTTCTAATGATTAATTTTGAGTTTTGGTAATCACAACAATATATTTTGTACAGTGTTTAGTATTTAATTAATACAAACAAGGTGAAGAACAGGATTTTCTGTGCCAAAACGGATGCACTGCCATGTTTGACCTATAAATCTTGTTAAATATTCAGCTGCAACATGTTGCAATTGCTGTTGGAAGTATGATATATGATGGACTAGATGACATTCAGGTGCTTCAGGACTATTGGAGATCCTGTGAATGGTAAATGGTGCAAAAAATATTTTACTTTTGGAAAAGATCTTGGATTCTACAGCGAAGTCTTTGTTGAGGTAAAATTGCTTAAATGGTTTTGACAAGGGTGCGAGGTTCTTTTTTTTATTTGAACATAGTTTAATAGCTGCTCTGTAAACTTCTCATGTGTCTTTTCTCTGTTTGTTCACAGGAGGCATCGTCACCCATCTCTCCTCGCCAAGTTGTGTAGGACTTAAACATCCCAATCATATTTGAGAAAGTTGTATTTGAGACACCATCTGTGCCAGGAGCAAGAACATCATCAGAGACTGAATAAAAGAACACATGGAGGTGAACAGATAATTTGCCTATACACACATCTTTTGAAGAACCTGTTTTTGTGGCCATTTGGGAATGTTTCAGATTTGTGTGGAAGGATCCAGTGGAATAGTGCGCCCTGTTCATGGCAGCTTGTGTTGTCCGTCTTTTGAAGGAACTTTTGGAACTCAGTTTAGATCAACTTAAATTATTTATGTAATTTTGAAAGCATGTCCTTCAGTTCAAAAGTCACTATGAATATGCTGTACACGGGTTGGTAAAATATTATTAATATTATTTTTTATGTTTTTGAAATAAGTATCTAATATTTACCAAGGCTGCATTCGTTTGATCAAAAACAAACTAAAAACAGTCAAACTGTGAAATATTTTTACAATTAAAAAAAAAAACTTTTTTATATTTAAAATGTAATTTATTCTTGGCAAAACCATATTTTCAGCATCATCCTTCAGTGTCACATGATCCTTCAGAAATTATTTTAATAAACTAATTTGGTGCTCAAGAAAAAATTATTTTTGTGAACTTTTAGAGGAATCTTTGAGGAATATAAATTATTTGAAATATATTCTAACATTATAAATGCCTTTAATGTCATTTTTGACGAGTTTATTGCATTTAAATCCAGCATAAATCAGAATACTCTTTTATGGAGGCAATAGAAAGTCTCATGTTGTTTGTCATAAAGAGGTTCTGTAAAGCATCAGAAAACGATGTAGGCTATTGGCCTACAACACAGCAGAAATTCATTATAACCTGTGAATTCATAAAAAAAGAGCCTTCTGTCTTTATTTACCCAATGTCATCATTTACAAACTCATTATTTTCTTCTGGGGAATGTTATATACTCATATATATTATATATAATATGATAAAATCATCAGAAATTTCAACAGCAGAATACATTTTTAAACCTGGACTTTGCGCCATCCTGTGAAGAGTGACCACAAGATGGCGCCCTTAGATCATTTTCCTTCTGTTGCAACTTAGAAATAAAAGCTTGAAATCCAATAATGCCACAGGAGCCATCTCCTTTTTCTATGATATATACATTCCATCAGTAAGAGCAGAGTGTGAATGTTGAATTAGCAGAACAGCTGCACATAAAATATTGCAATCCACACAACATAATGGGAGACATATCAGAATTCAAAAGAGGACAAATTGTTGGTGCATCTCTCGCTGGCTCATCTGTGACCAGGACACCAAGTCTTTGTGGTGTATATCGAGTGCTATATGGTGTCTAGGCTAATGTCGGCAAACCACCATGTAGGACGGACCGCATCCAGGAGTAACTGTTGACACAACTGCCCATTAAATGTGTGCCTCGACTTTCCTGTTTCCACCAAAACTGTTTGTCAGGAGCTCCACAGAGTCAATGTTTATGGTTTGTTGTCTAACTCCAGGTGTTACAATTTCATTGTCCAACCCCTGATGAAAGTGATTCACATGGGATGAAAGCCCACACATTTGATGTCATAATGTGCTAAGATTTCATATGTTTGAATGTGTGTATTTACACAGTGTGAGCACTAGAGGGAGACATATTTTAAATTTTGATTGAGAGACTGTCCAGCTTCCCCTGTAATTTGGGTGTAATGAGTGGAGCTAAAAGGTCTAACCACACCCTAACCCTACCCATAACTCCATACCTCCACCAATTAGATCCAAGAAGTGGAGCTAAAGCCATACTCAACCCATGACATTCAGAGAGGGAGAATCCATTTGGCTCTGCAGTGAGAAGTGAGCACCATTTGTTTTGATTACGTCTTGGAAAAGTGTGGTTCACAGTTCAGTTTTAAAACAGTGCTAAATTAATTCAGCCCTATAAGATGCATTAAGCAAATGTGTATGTGTGCGTGTTGTATGTTGAGGCAGTTCCTCGAGGTTGAATTGCCAGTTTGTTCTGCTCAGCTGACCATGATTGTTTGACCTGATACAGTCATACACTGACATATAGTCACTTCACTGCCTGCACACTTTCCTTGTGGTATTGGCAATTAAAAAAGCTCCCAATATACTCATTGCCAATCATAAGGCACAGCCATTTGAAAAAGGTACTCTAAATTACAGTAGGCTATGTTCAATATCAGAAATCAGAAGTATTGAGATTATAAATGAAAATGTGTGGTGTGCACGAGAGCATGAAGCTATAGAGATATTTTTTGCTTGAGTAATTCTGTATGTCTCTTTATTTTCTCATGCACATGGATTTTGATTGACTGGAGAGAAATGCTGCCTAATGTGAGGGAGGACAGAACAGGCTGTGAATCAGACACACACACCACGACTGCCATGGCCTAATCAGCTAATAGTGGTGAGTGGGAATGTATCATGCTTGTGTTGCTGAATAAATTTCAACATTTTCACAGCTGAGACGAGATCTTTTCGTAAATTTTCAGTGAAGTGGATTGCTCTTGGTTGTAGACACCATCATGACTCAACCTTTAAATACACACAGCTACATAACCATTTGACAAAAACACAATAAATGGAAATGGAATGGGGAAAGAAATTCTAGTAGAAGGTTTAAAACTGAAATGTGCAGCATGTATTTTTATTGAAACACTTAAATTAGTTCTTCCATACAAAATTGTGTAATTTGAATTGTAAAGTTGTCTAAACTGTTCTTTAAGTTTGCTGGTTATACCCAGCAAACGAATTTGGGTTCTGGGAACGTTCGTTTTTGGTTCCCAGAACGTTCCTAAAACTTTCCCTTAAGGTTACGGGAACTTTCCCGGAACGTTCTCCTTACGTTAAAAAAATGGAACATAAAAATAACCTACATGGAACAGTCCTATAATGTTCTTGATTGGTTCCCAAATAAAAAAATAATCTCTTGGAACCATTAGGGAACGTTCTGTGTACTGATGTGATTTCTGTTAGTCATGACAGGAGTTTGATTAGATATAACTTGCACAGGCAAGTGAGCCGGTGCTGCTCGACCAGCTCCGAGCGAGATTGGAACCGGAGTCTACGGCGCGGGAGGCGGGCACGTCAACAAGGACGTTAAAGACCGCAGCCGCTAGCATGCCTCTTGAAGCCAGGGGAGTAAGGTTTACATACACAGCTCTCACTGGCCTACATCCGTTACACTCACCCCCCCCCCCCAAACCTCACTCCATCCGGGTCACGGCACCAAATGTGACTGGTCCTACTCGACCTGCTCCGAGCGGGATTCCCAGCGTGGGAGGGCGCACTATCAAGGACGCTAAAGACCACAGCCACCAGCTGGTTTAATTTATTTATAAATCTCAAACAACATCATCAACATAGATTATAATCAATCAAGTAAAACTAAATGGCTTATTTATTTAGCATTCAAGTCATACTGAACCTGGAATATTACTTTATTGCACAATCATTTAAACAAGAATTTTATACAAGAGTATATTCACTAAAGTTTGTCATCGTATTCGATCCCATGTAAACTAGCTGTAAACCAGACGATTCAATGGTTATGTGGCCTGCTAATCCCACCTCGGGCCAAAGTTTCTCAGGTCTGAGGACAGGTGACAGAGGTTTACTCCAGCAGACAGGTGTTGGTTGGCACTCTGGGTCTACCGGGTCCAAGAGCTGCCGCGGTGTTCCCAAATTGTGACAGATGTGCAGTGTGTGACTGGGAGTACCTCGGCGGGGCATCGGACTGATGGATCACACCTCTCTCTCCACCTGCTGTGGCCTAGTGAGCTCCTCTTGTTTATATGCTGCATCTGCAGCTGGAGTGCCACGCCATCTGTCACCATCAAATGATGAGGAATGACGTTTGAGAGCGTTTAATCGAAAGTAACACTTATTGTAATAAGTGTCCCTTAACCTCAGATGAGGCTCGTTTCTGAATAGAAATAAAAGCTATTCAGCTTTAGATTAAAGCTAATTTTGCCCAGAGCAAATCTTATGGCAAAGATCGAGAGAGATGTTGTATGACACATACCCAAGAGAGCCAGAGGGAGATCACTGCTTATGCAAGAGAGTGATTCAGTCTCAAACGAATCTTGGCTTCTTCCATGTTATATTCATCCATTGTCATGGAAAAAAAAAATGGTTTATTGAGAAGTCCCTCGTCATATGGGACATTTATCTCGCAATGAGATGCTGCGATCTTTATAGCGTAAGTTCTGTGATCCTGAGCTTCCTCTGCTGGTGTCTGCCAGATGAGGCACATCTGCTGTTGGGAGCTGTGAGATGCAGACATCTGTCTACAATCAAGAGCTGAAACAGTCAGTCGTATCATGTGTGTTCTGA